CTGATTCCTAGAGCAGTGGCCACGCAAAAGGAAGCCGAGGAAGCCGAGAAGGCCGCGATGGAGGCCATCCGCGGGGACTTTAGGCTCCCTGACGTGGGTCAGGATGACAGGGGGAAGGTCGACCCTCATACCGTGACGGATGGAGACTTGGCTGCGTCGATAGACGCGTTGACTAGGAGGTTGAGCGACATGCCTGAATGGTCGGGAAATCTGATTGATCCTGCAAAGTCCGCTGAGCTGGTCGCGGCGAGATGGGGCGGAAAGGCGAGTTATGACAGGCCTGAGGCTCCTCTGACTGAGGCTGGGATGAAGAGTGCGTCATTGGAGGATCGAGCTTATGCCCTGTCGCAGCTGAATGAGATGGTGAACTTTCACAAGAAGCACCTATGCTCTGGGCGAGGAGCGCCAATGGTAAGTGCAGCTGCCCCCAGTGGACCCTTTGCTCCTGATCAGGTGGATGAAAGCAGGAGGTTCCGACCGAGTGAGGCGGCAAGCAAGATGACCTACAATCTTGTGGTCCTGGACGGAAGGAAGGATTATCTTGCCGATAGGCGGGAAATCAATCCAGATCTAAGGAGTACTGGGGTTATCCCTGATGAGGCCGCCACATGCCAGATTGTGATTCCCTCGAAGACAAGGTTGGGCGTGTACGTCCCGAACTACGAGGAAACCGCGGGCACCGTTGCAGGGCGGGAGGCGGCTAAGGAGTTGATGAGACTGCTCTCGTGCGACTTTGAAGGTCTGGCCATCAATTCGAAGAAAGTCTCGGAGTTATTCGAGGAGCACGTGCTGAAGGAAACTGGACGTGAGGCTGGAAACTGGGTGAATAGTGACCAGGCCATCTGGTTCCTGAGGGAGATCACGGGCATGGAGAACGCCAAGATGTCGTGGAAGTTCTTCATTCCGACGATCAAAGCTTTCCCGATAGGACAAGTTGAGGCGATGCTCATGGTCATGTACGATGGGAATGGTGTCCTCCCCTCCTCAAGGAGAGCACTAGGTTAGTGGCCGTTAGGTACACGCGGATCGGACGTGACATGAGCTACAGTGCCGTTAGGCAAAGGTACACCCAAGAAGATGCACCTGGCGGATCTCTGATGTACGAGATGCACTGGAATGAGCTCCCTATGGTGGGGTATGTCATCATGAAGTTCTCAGACTTTAGGAGGGCAGTTCAGCTCCAGAAGGTGAGGCGAAACGGAAAGGCCATGATCGAGATATTGATCACGAGGCCCGATGTGTACGAGACCATTGGGGATGGAAGGCAGGATGAGGGCCTGACACTGATCCCACTTGTGGAAATCATGGCGCCGAATGCCGAGGTATCGCCTTCGTGGTACGTCAGGGACAGGCTGCGGAACTACTCGGGAAGGTACGTGGTGGTAATCGTGGACCATCGGGTGCACTGGTCATTGGTTGGACCCGTGTTTCTGACGAGGAGAAAGACCCTTGCCGTTCGGAACGAGATCCATATGGGCGCTTGGAAGGCAGCATACATGTACGATGATTACACGATAGTGTATCATCGGGCATGGGACTATGGTGACTTTACCCCCGTTAGGGGGGAGCACAGGCGATCGCGTGAAGAGGTCAGGTTGAATGTGACCACCACGTTCTGTTTGAGGTGCGCGGAGATGACGCTAAATGGGATGCATTTGTGCCCTGGGTGTGCGCTCCCGGTCTTCTACCCGAACTTCATCCCTAACGCGGACGAAAGTGACTTCGAGAGGTGCCGCATCGTCCCGGAGTGGGTGAGGAGGATGGGACAGTTCAAGCCCAAGAGGATCCCATCCGAAGTGGTCGGAGTCATCAAGAGGAACTTGATTTCCTATTCAATGGCGTCTGACCTGAGGATGACGGTGCAGAGCGGCATCAGACTGCCCCCTTATCTTGGTGAGGACAAGGGAGGAGTCGATACGGCGTGGGATGAGCTGGCGAAGGTGCTCTTCCAATTCTCCTATGTGTCGGGGATTTCGGCCTCGGATGCGTTCGTGGAGAAGTGGGTGGCGAAGCACCTGATTATGACCAGCAAGTCGATAGATTTGATTCGGTCACTGAGTACTTCCGGGCTAACCCGAGGCATGCTGCTCAGTGGGGTAGGCGTATGACGACTTCCGTTAGGAAGTTCGCTCGCCACGACACGTACTTGTCCTTCTATATCCCGATGGCGTACGTGATTGGCTCCGCGGCGGGTCATCTGACTCCATTGTATCCGACCCATCGGAAGGACGTGGACATCCTGGCCAGTCATGCGTTGATATCGGAACTCAGGAAGTACATGGTATCAGAGACAGGGTACGATGAGAAGAAGAGGTTGAAGGAGGCGATAGCCAAGGTGCAGAAGGCAATCAGTGCCGGGCAGTCGGAGCCTCCCGCCCCCTTCCGCGACCCATTCGTCTACGTTAGCGACGAAAGGGTGAGGACGGTTCTTGATGGTCGTCAGCCGGAGCCATTGGACGTGAACATCGTAGGGCTTCAATCGGTGCATCATGCTGCGCAGGGTCCTGGTCCTAAACAGGAGCCGATCGTCAAGGGCGGAAAAGGAAAAGGGAAGAAGGGGGAAAAGGGCGGTAAGGGCGGTAGTCCTTCCGGCCCACCACCAATTTTTAAAGTCAGGTGAAGTGCCAGGAAAAGGGTCTGGCAAGGGCGATAGTCCATCTGTCTCACAGGCAAAAGCGAAGGCTGATGCTGGGCCGGCTCCGATGGAGGTTGATGCAACTGTGGCTCAACCGAAGAAGACTTGGGTCGCGATGGTGGTTGAAGGAGCCAGGCCGAGCGCAAAGGCTAAAATGACCCCGGTTCCAAAGGCCGAGCCAAAAGGGAAGGCCGCTTCAGTATCTGAGGCGAAGGGTGCTCCGGCTCCGAAGGCTGAGGCAAAGGAGACGAAGCAGGCCGAACCGAAGGTTGAGGTCAAGAAGGAGAAGATAGGCGGAGATGACGCTCCTGGCGGTAGCCGGGGGTCGGCCGAAGGGCAGAAGAGAGAAAGGAAGTCCCGTTGGGATCCTGACGAGACTGTGAAGGAGTCGACGAAGCGAGAGGCATCGACGAGGCCTGATGACGTTGACAGCAGACCAGGTGCGGCAGCAAGAGAGGCTAGTGGAGATGATCTTCACTCAGCGCTTGGTAGGTCTTCGGCAAAGGACGCGGTAGCGCCTCTGACGGCCTCCAAGGCAATGGCAAAGAAGCCTGAAGGCGGTGAGATCAGGTTGCAGTCGGCTGAGCGAACTGCGGCGAGCCCGGTGGAGGGTCACTTCCTGGTGCTGCCTGAGAGTTCGGTGGTGGACGCTCTCTTGTCGGTCTCCACCAACAGAGTACTGAACAAGCAAGTCAGGGATTTCATCAGAAATGGTGAGGACGCGTCAGCACTGGAGGCTCTCAACCAGATCGTGACGAACTCTCGCTCTGGGAGGAGGCGTAGGGAATCGGACGTTTCCCGCACTCCTTCTCGGAGGTCCGTTAGGACCGTGGACACCCGGGATTCCAGGGAGTCGAGAAGGCGCAGATACCGTCCGCGGCGCGAGGATGATCGCGACCGGAGGAGGGACGATGCTCGTGATCGTCGTGATGATGATTCACTCGATCGGGAGCGAGAACGAAGGCGAGATGATCGCAGGAGATCCGATAGGGACCGTGCGCGGGGCGGACGTGACCGGAGGAGACGTGACGATAGCCGATAGGCTGAGTCACGAGGATTGCGGCCGATAGGCTTGTGTCCATTCTCCAATGGTCGGCGGGGTGCGGAGGTGATAATGTTCCTCCCGAACCGCTGAGGCGCGGAGATCATGTCTCTCCCATACCGCTGCTGGGCTGCTGGTCGTGTTCATCAGGAAGCAGTGTGAGTGAGAGGGAAAGCAAACTGATGGGGGGTTACTCCCGGGTTTGCGGAATTCAAACATTTTTCAGGTACGCATGGTCAGGAGTACCTCTTGCCGATAGGCGAGGGTACTAATGGACATACGTTATCTTTTATTTCATGGCTTCTGATAAGAATTAAACTTCTTGCATTGTTGATGCAAACAGTTGTGACCTAGTGTCGTCATGTGGACCTTTCCACAAGGTATGTTGGACAGCGTTACCCCGATTAATTCGGGGTGGTGGCGGGAATTTAATGCCCGGGATGTCGCGCAACTGCCTTTGTGGGTTTGCTCCACCGCTGACGGCGGTAGTGTCCAGCTGTTTGCGGACACATGCGAGCAGTTAAATCCTATCAGTAAATGGCACGCTCCACCCGTCATATGACGGGCTCCTCGTGAGGGGGGTGTGATTAGCCATGGTTAATATCATCATCAGGGACGTCGCGGTAGTGACCGACCTGTGGTGTTTTGGCTCAAGTTTACGGGTTCCGTCGCGCCTCGAATGGGCGTCGCCGAACCCCTGCGTCGACCGACGGCATCTCGGGGGAGAAAGAGACCTCGGGCCGCCGCCAGGTTGGTAGGGACCAGTCGTGCGGCCTGTTGTCGACCAAGGTTGCGGGTTAACCCTTTTCTCTTTTGGTTTGTTTCCCTTTTGGTTGTTGCTCTCTGGTGTGTGGGAAACCCTGATCTTTGGGACCGGGGATTGGCTTGCTTTTGGGGATCCTTTCTTTTGTGGCTTGTTTACCCCAACTTACCCATTGCCTGGGCACAGGCTCGTGCCCGAATCACACCTCTTAAAGGGGAAACTCAGCAAACACCCATGAATTCGGGGCTTGGGTTCGCGGTCTTGAAACTCTAGCTTTCCTCTAGCTTGTAAAAGCCCAAACAACTTGACTATCCTCCTTAGCATTGCGCTTGAAGCGGGAGACGTGCCGTCTGTTTGGTGGATCTCTGGTCGTCCACCGGGCAGCTGACAGGAAGATGCTTGCGATGCTGCTTGCCCATGATCGAGTCTACCCTTTGGCATCAATCCTGGCCTTTTGCTTTCCTTTCAAATATCACAAGGGTGAACGCAGTCCCTTTTTGGGGCGACCCGGCTGGTTTCAAAACGCCCGGCTGCCAAACGCCCGGCTGCTCTCTTTGGAGGTATGGACCTCCCTGGGCGGCTGGTGCTGAACGTTTGGCGTGCTGTGACCTCGGATGGTGACATCAGGGACCTATTACCATTACCAGACTGAACTCGCCAGTGCCTTGTTTTGCTTTCGGTTGTGTTTTATTGTTTGTTATTATGATTTTGTTCTTGTTGTGGTTGTCTTGATCTTTCCTTTTGACTGCAAAGATCTGCTTGCTTTTGCAGGGTGTCTAGCCCTTTGTCCCTTTTGTTTTCAATGGTCAACCCCAAGAGAGGTTCCCCTAATTTGTGAGGGTGACTCAGCGTTCTTCAGGATTTCGTTCTACTTTATCCTCTTCGCAACCATCATGGAAGTGGACGATCGCAGGGTGGAAGGCACTCTCTTAAAATGGTCCCTAGTCGACTTCCATGATTGATGGACAAAGAGTACTCGAGGCACAATGAAGATGTGGGTGGCTGAAGGTTCGTAGGATAACTCATAACATTCCAAGGGGTACAATACGTGAAAGTCTGTGAGTCTGGGGGTTCTGGGATGTCACTGATGATTCAGTCATCAGCTATGGGCTATGAGCTAAGCGTTCACTTCCTGCCCAACATGTACATCATTTTGCTGAAACACATTTGCATTTGCGGGCCTTTGTGTGAGGGTGCCGGTGCCTGTGCGTTGCGGAGCTACAAGGCTGCCTTCAAAAGGAGCGTGTTGTGCAGGTTGTTGTTCTTTTTGTTTTTCACACTAAGAGGTCCTTGCAATTGTTGCGAAGAACATAAGGCCTTCCAGAGATAGAAGCTCGACAGTTGGGCCGTTGGGAACGCCGCGCCGCCTTGGTTCAGCACCGGCTGGGACTCGCTTCGCAGGTCTTGCGCGGCGAAGCCAAGCTCCAGTCCAGCTCGCTGCAGACAGCGATGCAAGTTCTGCCGTGGCCTGAGAAGCTCTGGGTGAGACTAGCCACCCCGAAGGAAGCCGCAAGAGGACGGATATTGAGTGTTTGATTTAGCCCTCCGTCTCACACGGTCTTTCTTGGAGCTGGTGTCTGGGAGCTGCAAAATCAAGAGAGTGCCTTTTTCTTGAGGGGCTCTACACTTTTTTCCAGAGGGCTCTAGCCTTTTCATCGGCCACTTCATGTCCAGAAGGGGTCAAATGCTTTGCGCCTGGCCGAGTCTGGGCGAGACGCTGCCGCTGTTACCCTCCGCGGCGATGGTCACACTCTCAGACGGCGCAGCTGTCTCTGGCCGCAAACTACTGGGCCCATCCGGGTCCCAGGGGAAAGTAGGGTACAACCACAGAGCCACTATTACTATATGAAAGGCATTCATCCAGGTTGCCTTGGGGGTAGTGATTTGGAGGTCGGAAGTTTCTGATACTTTTGTTGGGACTGGAATTCGATTTTATGGTTCAACTTTCTCTTTTTTTGGGAAGACCAGGAGAACGAAATTGGGGGATTCGCCACCCCTTTGTTTGGGTTCTCAAAAATACGGGACCCCGAGCACTGTTGCCTCCCTGGTGTGCCTTTTCAATCCAACCAAAAGGTGCCCAACAAGACAAACCAATGGGGGGATTGTCAAAATGTCCCCTTTCGGGATTCCTCACAGAAACTTTGTCAACTCCCAGAACGGGCACACAATTTGTCAACTCCCCTCCTATGCGCCCTAGGCAAAACGCTGGGCTACACCTGCCAGCCAGTCACCCAGAAAGCTCCCAAGGGGCTGTTGAGCAGGATTTTCTGGGATTGCCCTGGGGGAACTTAACCCTTGGGTTGGAGCCTAGCAACGCTTAGGTGTGAGGCTTGGGGGACCTGTGAAGTGCAGCCGGCAACCAAAGGGTCAGCTCGGCTCACCGATATGCCCAGGAAATCAGGCGCTGTGCACCAGAATCGCAGTAGGGTTGATTGTGTGTTGTGCATGTCGTGTGTGGTTTTTCCGTGTGGCCAGATTTCTTAGCAGAAGGTTTACAGACAATGGTGTACTAGGTGTACTTGCGACAGCCCTTGTGTGAAGCATTGGCTCAAGCGGGGATCTCGGGCTGCAAGAAGATGCCCAAGAAGATGCTTGACAGAGTGCGTGTCCAAAAGGGCATGTGTTGTAATTGGACAACCTTTTAGATATGTCTTGGAAATGGTGGAGATCATTTTTTTGTATAAATACCCGTGCCCACATACCATCTTTGAGGGCGTTCCAACCATCATGTTTTACTGCCAAAACATGATAAGCCCCGCCAAGTTGGCTCCTGCTTTCTAGGAAAAGCAAGGGGCTGTGGAAACCTTCATCCAACGAAAGGTCAGAGACACCGCGACCCCTTTTCGCTTCGGTTTCCGTTGATCCGTGGCTGTCCCCTCTGTAGAGATGGCTTGCAAGGGATCTGGGCTTAATGCCCAGGGACCAGCAGCCTCCAAGGGTTACGTCCCATCTCCAGTGCCTGAAGATGCCTGAAGGGATGTCTTTTTGTACAGTCCTTGGTTTTTGAACATGGGGAAAAGGAGTGGGGGCTGGTGGGAAGAGACCCTGTTTCTTTTGGTACTGTCAAGCATGGGAGACGTGATGTTGAAGGACAGCATGATACAATGATACGGCTCAATCGATGTGGTTCAAACACAGAGAAGTAGTTGGTCCTGCCGAAATTTGCTTTGCCTTAATTCAAACACATTGCGACAGCAACAGCAGGGGGTTGATTGTGCCTTTATCCTTTCCTTTGGACTGGTCAGGTTGACAAACCATGGTGGGCGCTTAGAGGGGCAATTGGAAACACCCAGGTCCTTGAACGGCTACTGAGTCAGACAGCTTTCAAGACCTGAGGAAGACGCCAATATGGCTCACGTCGCTCTATGTGGCGGGCATGCTGTTCACGGGCAGTATCAACACGCTCACCACGAAGATTCAGTTTCACTGCCAGACTTGCGAAGACCTACCCTTTTCGGTGTTTTTTGTTTTGTGGTTGTGGATTTCCTTGATGTTCCCTTGGCAAACAGACGCTTGTGTTTTTGTATGATCCAAGGCTTGAGCTTGAGAGCACCAACATAGTGACTTGGAAAGTATCGCGTGTCACGGGATCCGGGAATTGGGTTCCTTGCAATGGGCCCCTTTGAGCCGGCGCCCTTTTTGGGTTCCGCAAGGGAAAGCAGGAAACCCGGCGCCAAAAATAGGGTTCCCCATTTTTGAGACCCCGTGCCGGGGTTCCTACAAGACCGCCGAAGTGGTGTGCTTAAGGGTATTGTTTCGGAAAATTAAAAATGGCTTGCTGCCATATTACTCCAAAACGCGGCGAAGTTCCTCAATGAGGTAGCACAAGCTGGCGCATGATATCTGACCAAAGGTCCCTTTCCCAACCCACATGGTGTATTGGGTGGAAAATGGGGCAGGCCTTCGGAATTGCAGTGAAAGAGTCGGGAGTCGGGAGACACACCTAATAGCCCTACCCAAGCTTTTCTCTCAACGAAGCGTTCGACACTTCCTGAGACAGTGGGCAGGTGTCCTCAGGTTTCCGAAGACCCGAGGACTTCAATTTGGGCGGACAACGATGGCGCAAACTCTGATTTCGTTGGTCCAACCCGAGAGGCCCAATCATATTGGTTGTCTTTGTGGTCGGCTTTTTGTTGGTGCAAGCCTGAGAAGGTTTTTCGGTTCGGCCGAGGATGGGGTGCAGAAGCCGTTCAGAAAGCCGTGGTTTGGGACTTTCAATATGCTCTTTGCCGGGGCCTCAGGCGGGCGTGCAAGGCGGCCAGGCCTGCATTCAGTGAATAAAAAATGGCGAAGAACGAGGGATTCCGGGCTGGATGAGGCTTGCCTAGCGATTCTCCAGGCTTGTGGATGGAGAATCATGGATGCACGATAGTAGTTAATTTAGAGAAGCTGCAAGGAAAAGTGGACAAACTGGAGCTTTCGTTCTACTGCCACAGGGCTCTTTCAAGCCAGGCAATCAAAGAGTTGCCGAGTTTTAGAGTCTGAGCAAAGTTATGCAGGTAGCCTGCATATGCACACTCTTGAATGCAGTGGTAAGAGCTTTCTGTAAGCCACAACAACATCTGCCAAGCTGCGTCTTGCAATACTCAGGGTGTCTGTCGCTTCCATCTGCCGATTTGGCTCCGAAAACAGCAGACGAAACCCACTCTTGGAGGTCGATGTGGTAGAACCCAACCTGCAAAAACGGCACTGTAAGACAATCAGCTATGGGTCTGCTTTTTTTGTGGGTACCCTTGTTGAGGGGGGTAGAAAGGGAAACCAAAGGAAGGACCACCATGTTTGGGGTTCCTCTTTTTTTTGGTTCCTCCTTTTTTTAAAGACACAGCCATATCTCATCTCTGTGTGTTGTCTCAACAGTGTGTATTTTGTCAAACAAAGCGCAGAACTGCTGGAACACCTGACCCTGTGCACGATGCAGAATATTTGCCGCAGCCAGCCAAACTCTGGGACCCCGCATTGACACTCTCAGTGCACAAGGAGAGCGCGAGTATATGTATATATATACACATACGCTCACCCCCCCCCCCCCCCCAGACCCCACCTTTCCACTTCAAAATCACAAAATCCTCTTATTTTAAAGACAGGGGGTGTGAGCTCACATGCGCAAGAAGTGTGCTGGTGTTGCACATTTTTGTGTGGGTGACAAGTCTGTTGAGTAACAACAGCAAAGAGTTTGTAAACTTTCAGAAGGTGTGAAATTTTCACTGCAACAACGCAACACCTGGCAACACCTGGGTACCCTGGGGAGGTTGAGACGTCTGGGACAGGGGAGGGGGGGAGGGGGGAAGGGGGGCCGGGCGGGGGGGTGGTGAGAAGTCTTTAGCAAAGTTTGGATGAGTCACACACCTCACTGCTGAGACTTCCAGCTTTCAAGGATACCATGACCATGAAGACTTACCAGGGTGTTGCCTTGTTGCGGGAAAACGCCAACCACTCAAGAAGGTTTATAAACCTTCCTCCAAATTTATAAACCTTATGTAGGCTTGATGCATAGCAAATGAACTGTTGTGTGGGGAAAAATGATGTTTGGGTCAGAAACCCATCTTCGGTCCAAGGGAACACAATCTGAGCAATTTCTGCAAAACACCGCGTGTTTTACAGTATTTTGTTGGAACTCTAACCCTTTGAAATGTCCATGGTGAAGCGCCTGAAGCCTAGAATCTGGAGATCAGAATCCTCGAACTGTCTAATGTTGGATTCGCCAAGCCTCATAATTTGGAGCCGGGAGTCCTCCAACAAGTCCAAATATACAGTCCTTTCCAAGTAAAACTTTTATCCGATTGGAATTTGATTTTTTGAATAGAATTTGGTAGGGACATAATTCACCATTTCATAAGTCACCATAATTTCCAGATTTGATCAGAATTTGAACAGGAAAACCTTTCCACATATGAAAACATAACATTTGAGTAGTATACTTTAATGCAGACAGATTTCAATTGGCTTTTGAACATAAGAAATTATTTAAGAACCCCTTCCCAATATGACTTGAATTGGAATAGAGCATGTTCTGGAAAGAAATCACTTGGCCTTTGCAAACAATTTTTAATAGCAACTCATTCTCAAATATGATTTAGATTAGATGTGGCTAAACAAATAATGGGCAAATATGACATGTATTTGGCATGTGCAGGTCTCAGAGCTTTCATTTTCAGGAGATTTTGTGCTTTGGGTTTGTGCAGGTTGCAGAGCTCAAAGCCGCAAAATACACATTGTTCAATGTTTGTTTTCCCTGGTGTACTCAAAACCACTGCAAAAACCAGTGTTTTCAATCAAAGCCAGACTCGAATCTGAAAACGGATTCCGTTTTCGCTTTGTTGCCTTTCAAGCGTAAACAAAGCAAGCATTTGCTGTCATATAGAAGGTAACAAACCAACATAAACACTGTATGTTACAGGGTTTTTAGGCATCTGCAAGAACGTGGCACACAGAGTAGACTTGACACCTTCAACTAGAGGATAGGAAAGGTAGGCCCTGGGGGGGGGGGGTTGACAATGTATATATATATATATATGGTAGGACCCCCCCCAATACCAAGGTTTTCTTGCTTTAAAATGTACATGTTGCACGTTTTTTTGTATAGACAGTCGCTTGTTTGAGGAAAACCAGGAGTTGAGTTGGGGTCCTGCTAAAGATCAGAACACATGTCTTACTACAAGTGTTTGATCATCGTTATGTGTCATTGGATGAGTATAGATCACATAATAACTGACTGATTTATAATTCAGTGTTGGAGTTTATAAACGTCCAAGTCTGGTTTATAAACTCTTGATCGTTGGATTAGGGGGGGAGGGGGGGGAGGGGGGAGGGGGTTCCGTGGCAACTCTTGAGGGGGGGGGGGAGGGGGGGGTCCGCGGCAACTCGGTTGCTGGAACTCTTCCCCCCCTCCCCTTCAAGAGTTGCCAGGCAGAGCCCCCCCCCTCCCCTCCAAGAGTTTAGAGTTTATAAACCAGACTTGGAAGTTTATAAACTAAATTTGCGGGGAATGCTGAGCCTACACAAATTGAGACCATTTCAATGCACAATTTCAATCTGTTTAATGAACAGCTACTGGCTCGGGCAAATTCAAGCCTATCCCATTCCAGCGCTAATAACCACAATGGCCTGGTATCTCGAGGGCATCAAAGCGGATCCTGAACAGATCAATCTAGAATCAGGAGATTTGAACCTCCGAAATATCAAATGTGAATTCCTTTGCAAATAAGATGTTACTTCAAATTGA